TAGAAAAGTCGCCGCGTTTGGGAATGGGAAAAGTCACAGCGTGTTTCCAGGGGGTTGAAAAGGAAGAACGTTGGAGGAAATGACTGGAAAGACGACGTAAAATAAGAGCCAGCTCGGGAGCACATTTTGAGGACGATGGGTGGAATACCGTCCGGACCGGGTAGTTTTTTTGCGTTTAGAGAGCACAATGTTTGACGGATTTTCCTAGTGCTGATATGAGGTATAAAAGGGTTGCCAGTGAAGAAGGAAGAAGGCGGAGGTGTAGAAAAATGGAGTAAGGTGGAACTGGCGGCAAACTGGGAAGCAAAGCCTCAGCTTTCTCGTTTGGTTGACATACCAGATCACCAGAGGAATTGCAGATAGGTGGGAAGTTGTAAGGGCAGAAATTACGGGAAATTGCTTTGACAAGGGACCAAAATGTTCGGCTACCGGAGGCGGACGAGACCAAGTTTTCGGCTTTGCGGCGAACGGAGCGTTTCTTGGTTCTCTCAGTGGTCGTCGAACGTCTGTTCCTAGCTTGTACGAAGCGATGGTGGGAGAGGGGTTGGGATTGGGTGAGCGGCGTTAGCGACGGAAAATTGAACGTTTAAGGCGTACAGCATGGCCAAATGCATGGTTAAACCACTCAGGGAATTTTGGTTTGCCCGGTTTGGAAAAGTGCGGAATAAAAAGATGCATAGCTTAAAGAACAACCTGGGTGAAATTGGAAACGTCCGAAGAGAAACAGCAGTCGTTCCAGGGATGAGCAGCCAGGAGCTCACGGAAACCGTCCCAGTGGGCTGAGTTGTAGCGCCAGAATGTGTATCTCGAGGTGGGTGGTAGATCGGAGTTTGATTACCTAATAGAACAAGAAACAGTACAGTGATCTAATGATCCAAGAGGAGGGAGGGTACGAATATCTGAGAAGAAAGAAGGGACCGAAGTGAGAATTAGATCGAGGGTGTGGGCACGATGACCAGCTCTATCAGGGACACGTGTGGGGAGGTCAACTAGTTGGCTCAGGTTGTTGACCAACGCGAAGTGTTCGGCGTCCCGCCCCAAAAGAAGAAGTAGCAGATGAATGTGTCAACCAGTCCTGAGTGTGAACGTTAAAATCTCCCAAGATGGTAACATGGCAGTTGGGGTCGGTTGCAAACAAGTGCTTAACGTTCGAAGATAGAAAATCAAAGATGGAAGAGTCGCCGCTATTGGGGGATCGATGAAGAACAAAAAGTAATGATTAAAGGAAGGAAGTCGGAGTTTCAGTCACATCAGCCAAAATTCACGATTGTTAAGGTCAAGATTTGGGATTCTGGACGCGGCGACTGATTGGTGAATAAAGGCACAGACACCAGATTTGGGTAGAAAGGAGGAATAGAGTGTAGTTGGGGAATTGAAGGTGGGTGGTATCTGACGAGAGGGAGGTTTGTGTTTCGGTCAAAAAAGTGCCAGCGGGGAAGAATGGAGAAAGTGGTGTACAGAATCAATATTGCGGTTCAGTCCGCGAATGTTGGTGAGGGTGAGTGCATGCTTACAGTCTGAGTGCACAGAGCGAACGATAGTGGGTGAGTGTTCGTGATGTTGTATATTGATGTTTATGTCGCGAGGAAACCGGCAACCATGATCCTGAAACTTGGAGTGGCGGACCGCATAAGGCTTCAATAGATCAGGCGTGGTAGCAACAAGTTGACCAGAATTGATGAAATATCTACTACCGTCTGTTTCAACACTACACACCATCTTTAACGATGTGATACTATCTTACAGCTTGTGGAAGGAGTCCGGTGTCTAATAGCCCGTCTTTATCGATAACCCGGCAGATATCAGAACAACCAGTTAGTCAGGGAAAATATCTTGTTCCTTTAGAAACAGCGGATGTTTAACCTCACTATACTCGAGTGTCTGAAAGTGAAGGGCTTGACAAACGAAGGTGCAGCACTAAACGCACACACCGTTCAGAGTGAAGTTACTTCACCGGAGGTGGCAATGATTTATAACAAAGATTGAAGACCTAGCTAAAGAAGTGGCATCAGGATATAAACGATCCTGTTAAAATCCAGGATAGAAAAGACGAAGAGTGCTCGGTCGAATGCTCCAAGCAACCAATGCTTGCAACGATGCTAAAGCATACATGTCCACCAAAGATTTTGACAACTCTCAAATGTGTTAAACTGTCGGTCTGAAGCCATTACAATCCTAACGTGGCCTTACGTGGTTTATCACGGTTTATACCTGGGGCTTCGGTTGCCGATTTCCGTCACTGAACAGTAAGTATTCACGTCGATGGGGTCCACTCCGTCTGCTATTCATTGCATAACAATATACCTCCGAAAGTCTCGGTCTGGTCTGGGGTGGGTGTCCCGGGTTGTGACCGGTCACCTTTCCCTTGAACCTGACGAAGTGCTTCCACACGACGAAGCTGCTCAAATANATCTAGGAGAATTGGCTGACAGCCCTGATTCCAAACTAGCCAAGAGGAGATGTATGAATCTCACGTCTTCCTGGTTGTGTTGATAGTCACCGGCTCAGTCGGACATCAAGGTGTATTGAACACCTTTGACGTTTGACCCCTCTCCACAGAAGGTATGTTCGCGCATTCCCGTCTTAGCCTGGGTAACCTGGAAGTATCGCGTCCACAAGCAAACCACGAAACTTTTTCTTTTTACAAAGTTATTGTAATATGATTTGTTTCACACCTAAATTCGAGCGTTCGTAAAATATAATATACATACAAAATGTGTCATGAAAGTCATCACGCACATGAGGTTGGATTTTGGCACTTTACTCCGTTTATCTATTATAGCAGCGAAACAGAATTTGCTTTCTGCCGAAAAAGTTGTGGATATGCCACCCAAGCGCATTGCACCATTCCGAATACCGGAAACACTTTTAAATCATGCCGGTCTTAATCAGGCGATCGAAAGCACACTTCCCTCCAACTACAACTTTGAGATACACAAAACCATTTGGAGAATTCGATGTCTCCGTGCAAAACGTGTGGCCCTTCAGTTACCCGAAGGACTTCTTATGTTCGCCCTGCCTATCGCCGAATTATTGCGTCGCTTCACTCCTCTGTTCAATGACCCTGAGAAAATGGATCAAGATAATCCCGACCGAGAACCAATAGTTCCGGATATTGTGATTATGGGTGATGTAACTTACGGAGCTTGTTGTGTCGATGATTACACAGCTAAAGCTCTGGGTGTGGATCTACTGGTTCATTACGGACACAGCTGCTTGGTTCCATTGGAATCACCGTCTGTTCTGTAAGTTAGCAATCAATAATGTTTGGTTTGTTTTGCACTCATAAATGAATCAGCATAAGGCCCCCTTGAAATGTTCGATTGGTATATGGAGAAACTGAAAAGCGAAACCATATCAGGCTGAATTACGAGTTATTATTGTAATCTTTATTGTGAATTTGGAACGTGACGACATTTTGACCCAAATAGTGTTAAAAATGCAAAAGAAATTGATCGAAATGAGATCTGTGAAATGTATGCACATAAATGACTGGTGAGACTGAAACAGGACGCGATGAATGGATCCGTTGCAGGTATGTGAAGATACGTTTCCTATGACTTAGAAAGGGAGAGAAACTATGGTGTAAACATTGAGCAAAAAGTTGACGGTAGAATTCTGTGATGAAGAGCCGTCTAAGCAAGTATCATTTATAAACGATAATGAGCTGTACGGTGTGCGAACACAAAACTTTCTTCAGGATAGCAGCACTTGTAGATTACTCCTGTTGATTGGTAATAGATTCACTAACAGAGTTAGTCTCCTGCTACCGCAACCCACGTGTTAGGAAAACAAAACCAACTGTATGCGTAATAACGCAGTTTCTGAATATGCAATGTCGCCCCCCTCAATGTGTCGCAGTTGTTGATAAATACTCATTCGGTCGTTGAACGATGTTCGGGACAGAAATTGACCAACCAACTTGTAATGTCGCACTCAAAGAATGGCGCTTCACCCAGTGCGACGTAAAAATGACACTGTTCACTGATTGGATTATCCTTGTGAGGAAGACACCGATACCAATAATCGAAGACAGTATCACTTGACTTCAAAATGTGCAAGCTCCCATCGATGAGAGAGAAGCAGAATGTGTTGGAAATGCTGAATCAGCCAGATGCAACACAGAGCTCCGTAGCCAAATCACTTGGTATTTCAAGAAAAACGGTTTACAATGTTATATCCCATCGAACGACTGTCGGAGAATTTGTGAACGCTGGTGCACCTCAGTAAAAAGGCCACCTGAAAACTAACGAAAAGTTCAAGACAATTAGCGGACCTTGGCTTGGTTAACTGCACGGAGAGTTCCCCATGGTGGAGAGCATCGTTTGTAAGAAGACGACCCAGTTAACACAACGAATGCATCATCGTGATTTCAGGGCTTCCAAAGGTTGGTTTCGCTCTTGGTCAGACAGATATATTATTCAATCGTACAAAGTAAGAATCACGCAACTCACGTACATTACTTTATAGATTTGTGGTGAGAGTTTGGCGGTACCACTTGATACGGTGGATGCGTTTCGAGCGGGGTTACCGCAGTTGATCCATGGATATGCTGTGATATTTTCAATGCAGATGAAACAGCATTGTATTACAGGTAGCCCCTAGAAAGAGCACTAAGTCTCAAAAGAAAAACGGTTTCTGGATCCAAGAAATCCAAAGAAAGTGTCACATTGCTGTTTTGTGGGAGCATGATTAGAGAAAAGTTATCGCCGTTGGTTATTGGAAAATTTCAAACTCCACGATGTCTCAGAGTTATAGATATAAAAAGCCTTTCTTGCAGTTATAGGTCTTAAAAGGACGGATAGATAACCTCTGCGGTACTTCACAGTTGGCTGTCTGATGTCAACCGCAAGATGTTTTTTCAAAGATGCTCTATTTTAGGTAACGCCCCTTGCCATAAAGTCGCAGTATACTCCAATGTCAAATTAGTGCAGCTACCTCTTCTTCAGTGTTCTTCAGTATTACAGCCAATGGATCAGGGTGTGATTTGGTCTTTTAAATGTTCATTTTTGAATGTTAACTTATAAATAGGCGATTTTTTCTTCAAAAAGACATTCATTAATAGACATACTGAGTAAAGTCTCCAATCAGGTCGCATTCTCTGGTGGCTGCATCATCGGCTGATTTAGTGTGGGTTTGAACCTGGCTTTGTTGAAAGCATTGATCAGTTCGTGCAGATGCCCAGACACCCAAGCTTTCCTATTCCCGGTGATGTTTTCAAAACCGGCGTGCTTTGGACCCTATGGTTTGAGGTTGGAGCCCCGCCACCCAGCTTTGGTGGAAGGCAGGTTTTCTGTCGCTTCCTTCAATACCACGCCTG